TTAAAATCTATTATGTAGAATTCAGCTTCAGAGTTAACATAAACTGCTGCTTGATTCCATGATAGGAGAGAAGAATAATTGAGCATATGAGAGGCCATAAGTTGTAGACTCCGGTGGAAAGATAAATAGATTGAATAAAGGAGCTTTTCGCTTTCTGAAGAGAGACAGAATGCCTTCTGTTGCCTTAATTAGTAAAGCGTTTTCGAGCAGCGAGATGCTGGTTGAAGGGGAACTGACGTATCTAAATGTGAAAACCTAGAAGGGAAAGTAAAAATTATTGTAAAAAAATTCGTTGTACGAAGTCAGCGATAGTAGTAGCTTTGAAAAAAAAAAGCGTTACTTGGAGCATAAAACCATTTCTCTGTTCAAATAGAACTACAAAGGAAACAAAAGATAGACAGACTGTCTACTAATTATCATTTTCGTAAAAGTTTTTTGTTATATTCTTAAGAGAATATATGTTCACGTCATTCTCTTTCATCTTCCTGTTAATCTTTCAGTTCAGCTGGTAATCTTGCAAGAGACCGATAAGTCTTCCACAAACTTTCCTTCATCTCCACATCTTGAGAATTATTACCGCATGACACTGATTCCGGTCTTCCTTTCCATCACGCCTTTCTATGAGTTATCATCCGCAATTCTTTTTCTTTTCTCTTTCATATTGCTAAACTACTAGGGAAATACCAATTAGAATTTCACCTTCTTCCTTCTCGCTCTCTTTGCCCCCGATATATATTAATGCTCTTTTTTCAGAGCGTGAAGATATGTCGGGGGGGCCCTTTCTACGCGGTGAAGATGAGCAAAATATGCTAATCTTCTATCCTCTTTTCTTGGGGAAATGTAGGAAAAAATGTACGGTACATAAATCTAATTTCTTCGCGGCTATAATTGGTCTGAAAAAGGTTGTGGGGGAGCTGATACTGACCAGCTGTCTTCAAGTTGGAGCCTGGTTGCATCAAAATATAATTAATAATTAGGTTAGTACTTAAATAAGAAAAACATTGTCGGAAAAGGAGCTTTTTGCTTTTTTATTTGGATGAGAAGAGAAAAAGAGGGCAAAGAGAGCGAGGCGGAAAACTTATCGGTCTCATTCAAGATGACCAGTTGAATTGAAAGATTAAGAGGAAGATGGAAGAGAATGACGTGAACCTATAAATCCCTGTGGTGACAGTGGGACGGTCTGTACTGTGTTCTAGTTACGATGTGCATAGCGCGACGAAATACTGCATTTATGGCTCCAAACGGATGATCAATAGAAACTCCCTTCGAGACTGTTCTTTTAAAGAGTAGAGGAGGGAAAATAGTGCGTCAGCATTTAAATTTCTGTCTCATCGACTTAGAATATCGACTTCTGACTATATGATATACCTGATTCGGATTTTGTGTTCCAGTCTTTGATCTGTTATAGACTGTTCCTAAATGATATTTAGCTTGCGATTTAGAATATTGGCTTCCGACTGCTACGATGCGAAATGAGCCGGGCGATTGTTTCTGTTTACGAAATGTTATAAAGAGACTGTTCTGGACTGATATTTAACGTGAAGAAGCAGATTCATAGTATTAAAGATTGTAAAAAGAACAATATTAAGGACAGGTTAAACCAATCCATTTGCAGTCTGATTCTCAGTGTGTTATCGCTCAGCATTGCGCAATTTTTTATATTAGATTTCTCGGAATCCCGAAGTCTGCCATATAAGTACTCTTGTCCTTTCTTAGAATGATGATAAAACTAAGTGTTAGTTGAACTAGAAATTAATAACTATAAATAATTAATAACTATAAATCAAATTTAGTTCCAAGGTGATCACTTCTTCAAAATATGAATTCCTACGTAAGAAAATTTCATTCATTTAGTTATCATGCATTTGTAATTAAAATAGTTAATTTCATTTCATTATAATTAAGATTACTGTGATGATATAGCGCGCTGGTGAGTAATCTTGGACTAATTTAGAAAACGGATAACATAAAATCTCATTTTTTGCTTTCTTATAATTTTTATAAAATTTTACTTTCTTATGAATATAATATTACATTGGAAGCCACGTCTCTGCTTATAAAATGCTCATATTTCCTTCTTATATTTTTCTATCACATGTGAAGTAACTATGTATTAGTAAATAAAATAATATGCTTGTAATTAGAAGATTTGTTTTGATATTATTAAAATTAGTAGCATTTTATTCTGGAAATATATGCAATGATTCAAAGTGCACCGATAAGAAAAAACAATGAGATTGTTCAGTGATTGTGTGCACAAGATTTTAAAATTCTTGCTAGCATTTTAAAATCAAATGCATGTTGTCGTCGAGCATTTAAATGTTTAGTTTATTACATGCTTCATCGTATAATCTATCCTCCTACTTTCTAACCCTTCATGTCAAGTATTTGAGGAATTTCTTCCAACGAAAGCGCTTAAATAATTTTTGTACTCTTCATTTCTGAAATTAAGAGATTTTTTTCTGTTCAATTCGGCACTGTATAATGATTTCAGGGAAGCACGTGAAGACGCCTCTTCTTCAAGAAACTTAACCAGTTTTTTCCGAGGCTTGTGTTGATTTTTACCTGAATTCATAACACTTCAATAAGGTAATTCAAAGAATCTAATTTTTGTTTTAAATTGTTATTTGGAGAAATATTTTATTGTATTAGACCAAATATATCCAAAATTTCTTCCTTCTCCTCTTTCATAAATAAAATCTGTATTTCTGATTAAATCTATATTTAAATATACTTTTCGTATTTCATACACAATCTCTAAGGTTTGGAGAGAGAAAACGATTCCCTCTTATTGGAGTTTGGTCTTTCTTGCTTTTAATAAAGGAACGTAAAATTCCGCTCTGTGGGCTAAATTCCACGATATGCCGAGTCAAAATTACGAGCCTCACGGGATGATCAATAAATTTTCGTTTCTTGCTTCCTAAGCAGAATTCAGTGCGACTGAGTGACAAGATCTTGTTCTTCTTAATGAAATCTCGCTCAAGAATTGCTCACACAAGCGACAATTGTTCATCCTTCCTTTATGCAATTTCCCTAAGACTTATCGTTTTTTCTTATGCCGTTTATTTATTCTTATTATTTGCTCTTTCTTCAGAAGTGGATTCACAAGATATAGAATTTCATAGGTCATTTTTGGTTTTTAGTTTTTGTCCACATTCCATTAATTCAATCCACAGTATAAACATTGATTTTTTTTCTAGTTATTAAATACGCTTCAACCATTAAATAAGCTTTTATCTTGACTAAATGTTCGTTAAATTGAGGGAAAGTTTTTAAATAAAAATGCAGAAAAACAAAGAAAGACCAAGATTTAATACTGCAATTTGCATATTGAGTCACAGCTCTTTTGAGCTAGTTTAAAAGCGCTCTCTTAGGTAAACCATTCTTCGTAGGAAACATTTAGTCATTTCCCAGCAGCTCAGTCTTCCTATCTTCTTCTGCTTCTTTGCGATACTGAAAGTTTTATTGATGTAATAATAACTTTCCTGATCGTAAATCCTGTAAATTTTATCTATGTGCTAGTGCTATTTTTAAAATAAGGTATATATATATACATATACCTTATTTTAAAATAAGGTATATATATATAATTTTTTAAGCTAAATATTGAATGTGAAATAATTTTAATGTATGTGTAAAGCAAATCAAGAAAATTCATTACTAACATTAAAATGATTTTCAAAGTAAAAATTTCCCGTGGTTATTACTGATATTTTTCCCTAACTAGTTTACCATAAAATTTTATGCGTGTTTTTTATTTTCAGCAGAAACTCGACGTTCTTATACTGTTTTGTTCTCTCATTTATTTTATATTGCTTCAAAATATATTACAACAATCAAGAAATGCAGTTTATTAAAAGTGGTGGAAGTGCTATCAGTACATATAATGTGTAGCACATTTTAAAACATACTGGTTTTCAAAAATTTACACGAAAGAATAGAATGCCTAAAAACTGTAAAAAGTTAAATTTAATCCCAAGTGCTATTGCCATATCACAGTTAGAACACATAGCGGTTTTGCAGGAATCCCGTGTTCAACCTCGCGACAACGAGCTGCTTTATTCAAAAATTTCTGGCTTCCAAGCTCCTTTCATCTTCCCATATGGCGCTCGAATTTAAATGGCAAACGATAGCTTGTCATCCGACTTGGAATAGTTGAATGCAATTCATCTGCCCTTCTGCAGCAGCTTCTAGTATATATGGTAGTGGGGTTATGTAAGGGATCAAAGGCATTCCTCCCATGCCTATCTACATTCTTTCCCATTCCTCCCATGCCTCCCATACCTGTAGCTAAGCAGTAAGTATACTAAGCCGGTTATTCGACAATCCGATGTTTAGCGTCCAATGATAATATGAGAACAGCAGAAAAGTTTTCCTCAGGGGCTTGAATAAAGGGCGCCTTAACCCGTTGCTTCCAAGCATTCTTACAAAGAATTGATTCTACGCAGTATAAAGTTACATGTTAGTGGAATCTCTTGTAAATAATGTAAATTTGTGAAAATATGTTTTAATGATTGCTTTAATTAATCCCTAGAATGTATAAAATATTCATTTAAGTTAATATTTCGGAGTTCATTATGTATTACGCTCTAACGACATATCGAGTTGGTATTCACGCAACCGAAGCACTAATGCTTAGTGAAAGGTGTAGCTTTCGTAGTTCTACAGTCTAATTCTCAGTTAATTTGGAATTTAAGGGAGACAAAGTCATAAAAGTATATCTGAATACTCATTATAATCTTTAGTTAAGATTACAGCTCAAAAGATAAAAAGTTTTTAATAGTCTTGAATAAATGAACGGTAACAACTGTTAATAAATCGATATGTAAACTTCATGTAAATTATTTATTATAGTAGAGAGCAACCATATCCAATTGAGTGAAAATATATCTGTTAACATCGCAAGCATCGTAGTGAAAGTACCAATCAAAATAATCTTTTCTTTTATTAAAATAAATGATCAATCAAAATCATCACAATATTAATCAAAATAATCTTACCGTAATGGTCCTCAAATTTTTCTTAGAACCTCCCTTTGTCATGAATGAAACTGTAATTTACCTCGGAGATAAAATTTTCCCTGCGAGGTTAGAAAAGAGGTTTACTTCTACATGTTAATGCTAAGAAGATTTTCATCTGTTGAAAAAAGTACTATGCATCAAAGCTGTTTAAATAATCACATTTTTATTATCCTAAGACTGTTCTTTATCAAGAACTATAATGATCAAGTGATGAAACAAAGCAATAAATGTAATTTTATTATAAAGTGAATGTAAAAAAAAGTTTTACATATCTTTCTCAATGCTTCCTTCAAAAATAGAAACATGTATAACCGGGTATAATATTAAAGTCTTATAGCTATGTAAGCATAAGGTTAGTAATCTAAGGTAAACTTCCGCAAGAAAACCTTTTTACCCCTTTTTCTTGCAGGTTAAAAAAAAATCTTTCTTCTGATGGTACGCGCATAATTTTAAAAGTTCTGGTCTGGTGATCAAATTTGGAAATCAATCTGCTTCAACAATAATCCGTTAAAACGAAAAATTGAAGTTTGAATCTGATTTGAAAAGTAGACAGTCACGCACCTGTTCTGCTACTAAATATTTAAGTTAATCTACACGATGCATCGTGTAGATTATAAAACTAAGTACATGAGTAGTGTAAAAACTAAGTACTTGAAAAATGTAAAAACACTTGATATGGTCAACATAAGGGTTACCTCCAGTGAAATGTTAAGACATTGAACTGGCGGCATAGCAGCAAACTTTAAGCAAACTATCACCCCCGGCTGTCCGTTTGTAAATAAAATCTAATTTTTTTATAAATTTAACGGCTCAATATTAATTATAAATGCAAATTAAAATATATTAAACATAAATTTAAACAAAATTAAACAAATAAAAGCAAAATTCAACATAATTTTTTTTTATTATTCTATTTTCCCATATAATAAGCAGTGACTCGTGCTAATGTACACATTCGTTTTTATGCTCTAACTTAAAAATATCCCTTAGCAAAGTACCACTTTCTGCTGTCCAGTTTTATCCAAAATCTAATCAACTCTTTATACGAATGCAGGAAGCTTAAATACATAAAGCGAAACTTTTTCGAAGTTTGATACAAGGGTTATCGTGGACGAAAACATCGTCACTCACAGACAGATATCGTTCTAAAAATAGTAAAAACGTGTCGTTGGGAGCCTAATTATGGCTTGTTTACTGAAGACTCACTATCGAAGTTTTGAACCGGAAACACTACATTCCTTACCTGTGTATATATAGGTCGGTGGGAGACAAAAATGCGTTATGTAATGCTTGTTCTAAGTGGGAAGGTAAAATGATTGAATTATAGAGAAGTTAGCAATGAGCTTGACTAAGACAGTCATCCTTAACACATGTTTCCGAAACTCATGCTTTTTAGTTTCCTCCAGATTTAAACCAAACTGTTGAAGCTGTATTTTTATGCCTTTACTAATAAGTTACATAAACATGAAAAATGGAAATATCTACTACCCGAAAAATTCATCTTAGTATTTTCCCTCTTTATGTAATTTGATGTTATTCTCCCATTCAGTTATAAAATCTAAGTGGTTTGAATCCGTGACAGCCGGCTTTAAGCGAAATTCATTTCCCGATGCTAGTCGTGTTACGGAACTAGTCATTTTGCCTTGTTCAGTTCGCATAGGAACTGTTTCAGACAACGCAAATTTTAAGCTAAAGCTCTATGCTCCAATTCAAAGTAGTCACATAATATAATTTCCAAGAAAACCGATAAATTGAAAAGCTCTTTCCAATTCTGAATTAATGCCTTTATTTATTCTTCAGAGATTTCTTGTTTTATCTCTTTTGCCTTAGGTATATAGATCAGCGTGGGAAGGCCAGTATAGAAGGATGGAAGGATGGGAAAGCCAGCGTAGAAGCCGGCGGGTTTTGATTTGAAATTGAGGTACTTCTTATTATTGCCAGTTTTCTCCGACCAAGGACACATAAAATTTGTCTCTCCGCAAACTATACTCTCGTATAGTTAATGACAAGGAAAGAGGAGGGTAACACAACATAAAATGCTTTCTTTTTATTTAAATTTAAGTACCGTGTTATGCATGAACAAGCTTTATGCTCTTTTTGTATAAGGTTTATATCAGAATTCACATTATAAATAATGCAAATAAGTGTATTTTGATTATGTGTGTTTCCAAACTATCTAGTTAATGAAATATTATTTAACTTAAATAATAAACATAATCCGAATTTGTAGCTAGATTTCAATTTGCATTACTTGAATTCGTTTCAATTAAATTTCAAAATCCCATTTACAAATAATTTAGGATCCATTCAGCAATCTCATGCATATTTCGAGATCCTCTTAAGCAGTAAAGTGACAATCTGTGCTCTCTCGACAGAAGTAATTGCTTCGAAAGTGCATTTAGGATGAGATGCAAAAGATTTAATACATAATCATATTCGCAAAGCGTATTTAAATTGGAGCAAATTCTTATTTCCATTTATAATATACGAGACTACAATTCAATAAATTTATTTCCACTAGAATATTCTAATTCTACTTATACTATAAAATCTAATTCTATTGCTACTCGTTGATCTAACAGAATTGTTATTCTCTTTCCCATAATTATTTTGATTCTGCAAAATTGTCTTCCCTCAGTTCATAAATTTCATTCTAAACGAGGTTTGGCCGATGGTCTAACGAGGCACGTTTGCTCCTTTATTATGCATGCAATTTAACTAATTATCAATCTCTTTCCTGAAGGCAGTCGTAATTACTTTCTCAGACTTTATTAACGACGGCAAACTGATTACATTGATTTGATATACAAAACTGATCAGAATTTCTCTGCAAATAGTATAACATTCTGTGTTTAATATTCCTTTTCATTGTGCATTCATGTGGGATTCAAACATGTGATCTTTTAGTTTGTAGACGCGCATCTTAATCTTTGCATCGCACTGGAATTCATTCTTTGTTCTTCATCAATGCTTGTTTTCATGGACGGATAAAATTTCCTGTTTTTAAATAGTTTTTCATGCAATGGAATTAAATATTAAGTATTTCTTAAGCTGTTACTTGAGCCCACGAACTATCAGTTCTAGTAGCTCTTCGTTACTAACTACGCAAGAATTTAATAGAGATATTTTGAACGAATTTCATTATTTTTTGTGTTGTAATTGAACTGTAATACTTTATATCACGAATACACATTAGCCACTTGAGAAGGTTGTTCAGTCTTATATTACAAGCCTAAAGTTCAGTTTGTTTAATCATTTGATAGCAGCCATTGTACATGAAAAGGAATTTTTGCTGCTCATATTTGAAAATGCAGTTCGCAACTGATGCGAACTGGTTCAGGAATGTTTTATATCGATAATTATTGAATAAATTTATCACTCCAAGAATTCAAAATGGGAATTTCTTTAGCTCGCTCTTAATCACCTCTCCTATTTCATTTTTATACAGTAATTCTTTTAATCTATATTATTTTTGCTAACCAAAAAGGAAATCTGGGGTGGGATTAACTGTGATGAAATTAACTATGATCTGGGTGGGTGAGATTAACTATGATCCTAGTTGAGGTTAACTGTGATGAAATCCTCTCATCTTACCTTGATAATTTACGAATGAGGTACTTTAAGGTAATAAGGTTTCAAGTGGAGCAGTAACTTTTTATTGACAGCCAAAAACAAAATCTAGGAGCTGTAACTCAAATCATTCTAAACGCAACTTTAATCTTAGACACGTTGTATTCTCTTTTTGCTTCTTTTACTAGCTAATTCTTGCTTTGCTACGTCTCCAAAAACATAAAATTTCGAGAACAAACTCTACTTGCGCCACTTCTTTTATTCTATAAGCACTTGTTTCCAACGTTGCAATTATATCTATGCACAGTGTATATATCTATACATATGCATAGAGACATGGAAACGTAAATAGACCTTCTAAGTAATTGAAGCACAATTACTTAGAAGGTCTATTTACCTTTTGAACATCACCAAAAGTATTTCAATAAAAAATTCCTATTTTAAAGTTATTTAGAGGAATCTGTTTACCTTTAGATATCAGCTTCCGGGTTCTTAAACAGAAATTTCCAGTTCACGGGGTAGAAAAAAGAACTGCCAAAATTCTCCTTATAATGACTGGAGGGACTAAATAAAAGTAGTTTTGAGAAGCTTAATGTATGTATAATCTTTAAAATAAAGTGATAAAAATTTGTCCTTGTAATAAAATAGTAGAAATAATACTTATGTCCTAGTAATAAAATAGTAAAAAATAATAATGTACTTTATAAATAATATTCTCTGAACAATAATTATACATTATTCAGCATAAATTTATGATCGCTGATAGAGATCCCCGTAAATAAGAATCATTTTTCCCGAAAATTGTATAGTTAAAAAGGAAACAAAATACTGAATGTATCAAATGAATTTATATTCACTGAAAACACAAAAAATGCAGTTTGATATATACAGAATTAAAGAATCGTACTTGTGTATGAAAACAATATTATAATTATCTTTATTTTGTTACTGCTTCTGTTTCGCTTCTATATTTTGCATGATGCGTCCTACAAAAGCTGTAATTTATCTGACTATAATAATAAATAAAAATCCAAATGAGAACTCTCTTTTGTGCAAGATTACGTGGACATTACTATTTAATACTTCATGAGATACTCTCGAGATTCTCTTTCTGTTCTATAAATAAGACAGCATTTTCGTGGTAACGCTCAGAGAAGTAAATACGAATAGGTTAGAATTCATTTATGAGGTAAAATGGAATTGCGCTTCTGGAGTTCCTTAGAAATGTTTTCTTTTCAGAGCTGGATGTAATAATGAAATGAGCCAACAACGGTAAAATTATGCAGCATAAATAAATTTCGACACCAAAATTAAGCGCTTGGTAACCCTTATACGCTATGTTATGTATGTCAAGAGACTCTGAATAGAAGATAGATAATCTGATAAGAAAGATAATAAAAGATAATCTGAATAGAAGAAGGAGCATTAAATTAGAGGTGAATTTCATATACTTGCAATCCCGAATTATAATTCACAAAACATATGGTAA